AAATACATTCAGACTACAGAAACAAAATGTGAATACACCCGGACTACAGAAACAAAAGACTCAGGTTGCCTTGTGCTCCATGAAAATCACAATTTTTAAAGCACAACCGTCAAGTAGTTTGATTGCTGTTTTAATAAAATGAATTCCTTGGCTAACACTATCATTAAGTCAGCAGCACACCATGCTAAGTGGTTGTCAGGGCTTTCCTGCATGAATGTTAATGATGGCACCCACCACTTCCCTGGATTCCAGCACATTTGCACCAAGTTGCTGCTTAAAGGGAACTTTGTTGTTGTGCAGTGCCATCGTATCAGTTGGCGACTCATAGCGACCCTGTATAGCATTTACAAGGAGCAGTTAGTGCGCTTGAACCGCCAACCTTGCAGTTCAAACGGCTTTGCAGTCTGGTGCATTAACCCACAGCGCCACCCCAGGACTTCTAAAGGGAACTTGGGTGTGTGTTTATTGCGCTTCAGGGAATACCAATACATGCTTGGGAAGATCTCAGATTGAAATCTCTGTACACTCATGGCTCTGTGTCAGGAGACACAGCAAACCTGCTGAAACAAACACTTAAAACTCCGTTTTCTTCCAGAGACGGTGTCACCACCAGACAAGAACCAAGTAACTAGAAGAAAGCATTTTATTACTAAGTTTCTAACAGATCTGGAAAGTGATGGCTATGAAGCGACCCTGTGCACACTAGACCCTCCGCTCTGTGAGCACGTAGGCTCCTGCGACATTATCTTTGATGGCTCGGAAGGGGGGGAATAAACCACACTAACATCAAGAGAGGCGACTGTACTAACTACCTACCCCAAAAGTATAGCAGCAAATAAAGTTTTATAAAGTTCAAATATTTCCACCTCTACGCAACCCTTGGAGTTCTGATGTGTCGCTGTTAGATAAGCATTGGACTGGTAGCAAAAAGGTTGGTGGTTCAAACCCACCAGCTGCTCCTTGGAAACCCAAAACAGAGTCACTATGAGCTGGAAGTAACTCAAAGGCACTTAACAACAACAACATGCAACCTTTAAAGGAGCCCTGCTGGCACTGTAGGATAAGCACTGAACTGCTAACCACAAGGTCGGCAGTTCAAACCCAACAGCTGCTCCAGGGGAGAAAGATAAGGAAGACTTTCTGCTCCTGTAAAGACTGGTATGGGAGCCTCAGAAACCCTACGTAAGGCCATGGTGAGTCAGGGCAGTGGGGTGGGTTTGGGATGAGGTCTTTGACTACTCCGGTTACCTTCTATGTCTACATCACAAGTCAGTTCTGTGGATGGCAGACGCACTATGCAGGACTACGGCTGCGCTCCCTTCTCGGGCCACGCAGCCACATCACAAGTCCATGGATCTTCAGTAGAGTCTTTCTAACCAGCATCTCCAGGGAAAGAGTGCAGCATTAAGTTCTTCGTTCCAGCAGGCATTGAGAAAAAGGAGAGGAGGCCCAGGAAAACCTAACGACGCCTTCACTTATTTAAACCTGGTATTTCAGGAAAGTCCAGGGCTAACAGTTCTCCTCTGTGGTGGTGGTGAAGTGCCACTGACTCATAGCAACCCTGCACAGGGTTTCTGAGGAGCAGGTGGTGGGTTTGGACCTCCAACCTTATGTTTAGCATACCGGTACTAACCCTAAAGCACCATACCACCTAAAACAGTACAACACATCAATAAACACTTGCTTTCCTGCAAAAGAACAACCTATCAAATAGGACTCATACAAAGAAAACCTAAATTCCAGTCAGATACTAGAAAGCAATCAAATTATTGCTTTAAATGGGCTTCTGCAATTCCGAGCCTTCACACATTGTGACTCACTTTTGATTAGTGCAATTTGTTTTTAAGATTACACACACACACAAAAAAAAAAGTTTAAAAATAAATCTAATGTATTATTCTCTCCCCTCAACAGTTCTCATGATATAATTATGGTTCCTGTGTTTCCAAAGAAGAATTCATTACTCCTTACCCTCTACTTTACCATCCCCTCCTCCCACCCCGCCAAAGACCTTCAGCCTCTATCTCTAAGGGAGAAGAGATTTCCAAACATGCGCCATCACAGACATCACATTAAACTAATCCAAGAAAAAAACACCACAAGCAACAGAGTACGAGCTGGCACTTAAAAGAGATGACATCCACAGAAGTCACAATGACCAGGCAGAAGTCTGTCTGACACAATACAACCTGCAAAACCTCATCTGTCAGCTCATTTTCAAATGATTAGATTCCTCCAAGAAAATAATGTCCGCTCAACTCGTCCTTTAAAAGTCCATGTAGTATGAGGAGGTATTCTCAATACTGGGAACACAGAGACAACTTAACAACCCAACATCCCTTCAGAGGGAGGCACAGACGTATGTTCAAACCAGAGCGCACCATCATGATGTCGTGACGTATTGGGATGGTCGCCCACGTCCACCAAGGTGCCAATCAGGGCAAAGACAACGTCATAGAAAAGGCCCAAGCAAGGCCACACAGAGTTTCTAATGAATGGGAACATCAATCTACAAACGCACCTTTTTACTTTAGAATGGACCCAGAATGGAAAAATAAAATGCCGTGCCCAAGGGACCAAGATATTTTCTGAGGGTTGGCTTCTTTATTTTTACTCTGTGTATGCATAGTTATTGCCACAGTAACTATCATTTACCAATAATCACAAAAGTGTTTAAGTTAATGTCAGCAAGGCAATCAACAGGTACTAATCTATGTCAAAATGCTACTATGGGTTGAATTTGTGCCCCTCAAAATATGTGTCAACTTGGCTAGGCCTTGAGTCTCCATTTCATGGCCTGATCAACTAACCTATGTGCTGTAAATCCTGACCTCTACTGCTAACTTTACGGTCAGCAGTTCAATCCCACCAGATGCTCCAAGAGAAAGAAGAAGTTTTCTGCTCCCATAAAGACCGACAGCCTTGGCAATCCAATGTATGAGAATGGATTCGTACGGTGGGTTTATGAAGTTATAAAGCAGCGAAAGCGACAGGGTTCGATTGTATCGTGACTCAATCTCTAGTAAGATGCTGTGTGCCATAGAGTTGGTTCCGATGTTTAGGGTTCCGGGAGCTGCTGGTGGATTTGAACCACCGGACTTACAGTCCAGTGCTTATCCTACAGCACCTCAATTAAACAAGCCAGCAGAGAGGACAAGGACCTCAGTTCCACCCAGAAAGAACCAGGAGTAGAGCGTGCCTTCGAACACTGTGCTGGCCACCTCCTTGACCCAGGGGGAGACCGATGTCTTGCCACACAGAGATCTCTGAAGAAAGCCAGGCCCACAGATGTTAAAGAGAGACAAGGACCTGCCTCCTGAACTATGAGCCTAGAGACAGAGGAAGCCTGCCTTTGTAGCGGATGCCCTGAATTCAGACGCCTCAACTCCTCTGTATGTTAGATCCACCCACTTGTGGTATTTCTGTTAACGCAGCCTAGAGAACCAAGACAAAAGGTTCTCTTTTTGCTTTAGTTTACATCTGTACTTGTAAGTTGTCTTAAAAAGAAGCAGAGTATCTTCAGAAATGCCTTTTTTTGTCACTGAATTTAAGCCAAGACAGTAGTTAATCAAAAGTAAGACACTATGCCAACTACTGCAAACCTATTCATACAGTGAGCCAGGCAGCAGTACTAGACCCACCGTGCAGATGAGTGAGATTTAAGAGGTTAGGTAGCTTACTGTGGCTTCACAATTCAGGGGAAGCCTGGCTCTAGAGCTGGTCCTCTTCCCCAGGGTGGTCTGTCTTAATATTACTCCTGCTAATACTGAGAGAAGGAGCTCTGGAAGCGTAGTGGTTACGAATCGGGCTGCTAACCTCAGGGTCAGCAGTTCGAAACTACCAGATGTTCCGCGGGAGAACGATGAGGCT